AACTCCACCCCAAAGCTCAAGAATATACATTCTTCTTATCGGCCCATGGAATGTTTTCCAAAATTGATCATATCTTAGGGCACAAAAAAACCCACAAGAGAATCAAAGGAATTGAAATTTTACCTTGTATCTTTTCAGACCACAAGGCTTTAAAGGTAGAACTCACTCTCACAAAAACGTTCAACCTCACGTTGGACGTGGAAATTAAACAACTTTATGCTGAATGACAGTTGGGTGCAGGAAGAGATAAAAGAGGAAATCATTAACTTCCTTGAGCATAAAAACAATGAAGGCACAAGCTACCAAAACCTGTGGGATACAGCAAAAGCAGTCCTGACAGGAAAATTAAAATTTCTCTCTTTAGATGCCTACATCCAAAAAACAGAAAGAGAGTGCATCAACAAACACACAAACTATCTTATAGAACTGGAAAAAGAACAATCTAAGCTTAAACCCAGTAGAAGAAAAGAAATATTTAAAATTAAATCAGAGAGTAATGACATTGGAAACAAAAGAATCATTCAGAAAATTAATGAAACACAGAGTTGGTCTTTTGAAAAAATAACATGGAATTTTTTATGAGTCTGAAGATAAATACTTTTCTCTGGAACAAATTTTACTGTCTGAGATGTCATCACATAATACTAGTCATACATGAAAAGAAATGGGAACAGGATTGCTAGGCATCTGGTCAGCCTCTACATATGTATGACAATTTGAAACAGTTCTACTTAGAAATTATTAAAAATGTAAAATATAGACATTCATTCTTTTGTTTCACATACAGGATAGATAGATTTCCTACATTGCCCAGGTACTATTTTGATTGCTAGAGTTGGAGGAAATGAACAAAAAATCCAATGTTCCTACATGTGTGGAACTTACATATACTATGTGTGGAGACAAATAGTAAGAGCATACACAAAGGATTATGAGAGTGTAGTCAGGTGCCATAAAAAAATGAAACAACATGAAAGGATGTAGAAAGCTGAGCATTGCTGTAAAAGAATGTTCAGGAAAGAACTTCTACCTCCCTTCCACGCTGGATGTGAGATTTTAACTTTCTTATTGCTAAATTCAACATTTAGTTGTTTTCACTTCACCTTGATCTATCAGCAACATTTAGGTTTAAAACTCATTTCTTCATTTTCAAAGAAAATTAGTTGACTTGGTTTCTAAGGTGGCACCTTCTGCTGTGTTTGTCCTGCCTCATTGTATTATTTTCCTATTGCTGCTGTAATAAAATATCACAAATTTAGGGGTCTAAAACCACACAAATTTATTGTTTTGGAATTCTGGAGGTGAGAAGTTCTACATGGGACTGAGATAACAAGAATGTTTCAGCAGAACCATTGTCCTTTCCAGAGGTTCTAGGAAAGAATCCAGTACTTCTAGAACCTGCCTACATTCCTTGGCTTGTGGCCTCCTCACTCAGTTTTCAAAACCAGTAAGTTTGCCTTTATGCACTGTTCATTCATCACTTTTCCCTCTGTATTCTTTTGTCTCCCTCCTCCACTTTTGAGGACTCTGGGGATTACATCCCTCCCCCCCGGCCCCCCAATAATGCAGGATAATTTTCCCATCTCCAAATACTTAATGACATCTACAAACTCCCTTTTGCCCAGAAGATAACATGTTCACATGTTTACAGTTTCTAGGGACAAAGATCTGTATATATTTCGGGGTGGGGAAGATTATTCTGTCTACCATATTCTGTGACTTATGTCTCAGTTTTCTCAGTTGTTTCCTTCTTATGTTTCTGACTTTTAAATATGGAGTACCAGGGCATAAATACAGCTATGTTGCTTGTTAGAATATTGAAATCTTTTTATTTATTACAAGTACCTTACCAACAACTCTGAGCCCTAGACTTGTCTGTCTTTTGCCCTGGATCCCTGATCTACCCTGAGGATTCTACATGCTCCAACAACAAAAATAAAAAAACAAAAATAAATGTCTGGCCTACCTAGAAGCTTTGAAGACACTCACCCAGCATTGTGGTCAGGCTCTGTGTAGATTGGCTAATGCTCCAGGCATACCAGTTGTTAGGTGTTTTAAATAGCATCCCTAGGAGTGCCTCTTTCTCAAGTAGTCATTTACTTAGTGATTTCATCCAGTCTTTAAGACTTTAAATACTACTTAAATACCGATGACTCTCAACGTTTCACTTTTAGCCCAATTTTTTCTCCTACACTTCAGAATCTTAGATCTAACTACCCATTTAGCAACCCCAAGGATGTAGTTTAGGCATCTAAAGCACACCTCATTCATCACTGAACTGCTGGTTCATCCCCCTGCCTCAGTCTGGCCCCTGTCCTGTGGTCTTCTGTCCATCCAGAAATATAGATTCTACCTACTTTCTTTACCTTGAAAATATACACAGAATTCAATTATTTCTTGCCTTCTTTGCAGTTATCAACTCAGTCTTTATCCCCATTAGTGCCCACCTGTTATTTCAAAGCCTTCTGTGTTGTGTCCGTGGCTCCTTCTCAACATGGCATCAGGAGTGATCATCAGATTTTAGTCACATCATTTTGTGTTGAAAACCCTCCTTGTCATCCTGTCTCTCTCAGATAAAGACCAATGCCCTGCCCTGGCCTCAGATCGCCTCAACAATCTTCCTCTGTCCTGTCCTCCCTCTGGATCATCTTCCTTTACTTCCTCGTTCCCTCACCTTCAGCCACACTGACCTCTGTGTTATTATTAAAATAAGTTGGGTTGGGCTTGGCGCCTGTGGCTCAAGCGGCTAAGGTGCCAGCCACATACACCTAAGGTGGTGGGTTCAAATCCCCAGCCCAGGCCCACCAAACAACAATGATGGCTGCAACCAAAAAATGGCCAGGCGTTGTGGCGGGCACCTGTGGTCCCAGCTACTTAGGAGGCTGAGACAGGAGACTTGCTTGAGCCCAGGAGTTGGAGGTTGCTGTGAGCGTGATGCCATGGCACTCTACCCAGGGGGATAGCTTGAGGCTCTGTCTCAAAAAAAAAAAAAAAATAAATTGGGTTGCTTTCTGCACCTGGAGTGCCCTTCTTTGCTATTGGAATTTTCTGTTCCCTGCATCTAGGGAATTCTTTCCATTGGATATTCACATAGCTTGTCCCAAACTTTCTTTCACTACATACACTACACACTAACTTGCTAGAGCCATTTTCCTTAACCCCATTAAAAAAAAAAATCGAATATTTTAACTCTTTGATTCCCCTATCCATTTTCTTCTTCCCCTTGGCATTTGTCACTCTCTCATCAGCTAAGCACTGCATAACGACATTTTGTTCAATGATGAATTGTATGCACGAGGGTGGTCACATAGTATGATTAAGTTAATTTATTATTGGAGAAAGAATTTTTTTATAAATTTAGTGTAGCCTAAGTGTGCAGTGTTTATAAAATCTATAGCAACCTATGGTAGTATCCTGGGCCTTCACATTCACGCACACCTTACTCATGGACTCATTCAGAGCAACTTCCAGTCCTGCAAGAACCGTTCCCAGTAAGTATCCTTATACAAGTCCCAAGATTTGTTTCATTTTCTATATTGTGTTTTTACTGTACCTTTTTTCTGTTTAAATATGTTTAAATAAATGAATACTTAACTGTTGTGTTACCATTGCCTACAGTATTCAGTCCAATAAGTGTTGTACAGGTTTGTAGACCAGAGCAGAAAAGAGGCCATACAATATAGCCTACATGTGTAGTAAGTAGGCTGTACCATCTACATTTGTGTAATTACAATCTTTGGTGTTCACAGAACCAGAAAATTACCCCAGTGATGCATTTCTTAAAATGTATGCCCATCATTAAGCAATGCATGACTGTATACTATCTATTTTACTCAATTTATGCTGTTTCCTTTGTGTCTAGAACCCACTAGAATGTGAATTCTGTAAGGGTTGAGATGTTAGTCTTTTTCTCAACTGCTTATCTCAAAATCTGGAGCAGGGTCTGGACAGGGTTCTAGCCTCACTAATGGTTACAAATTTGAAAATTAAACAAGATTCTTATTGTAAACTCTGAAATTCATAAAAATGGACAAAAAGTAATATTCAAGGCTTAAAGGGACAAAAATTATAATGCACAGTTGTAGAAAGTAGGAAACAGGCCAAACTTTTCTTCAAAGAAGCTATATAATAAATTTTAAATATGATATACTTTGGCACAGTAAAATGCCTTATTAAAATTTATCCTAAGGAAATATTTAAGAATGTGAATGTCAGCAAACATTTAGCAATAAAGACAACCACCACAATCTCATTTGTTAAAGTGAAAAATTTTTAAAGTCTAACGCCCCATTTCTAAACATAGAAACTTAAGTTAAATGAAATGTGGTATATTCATACAATGGAATATAATATAATCATTAAATTAATATTTAGATAAATATCTAGGACATGAGAAATATTAACATTATTAATAAATAGAATAAAGCAGTATATAAAAATTATATGCAGGATGATTTCATTTTTAAAGGAAAATATGTATATCTTATATATTGTTAGATAGTTGTTAGAGAGGTTAGTTTTTGACAATATAGTTTTTAAAGTGAGTTGGGTAGTTTTTTCTTGTTTATCTGATTTGTATTTTACAGTTTTCTTTTAAAATAATGATCACTTAATAAAAACTCAAAATTATACCACATGTTAATATTCCAAAAGTTGTTACTATTATAAATATAAAGGGTTTTCTTTAAGTATGAATTATACATAAATATTCTTATGCTTTTATGATATTTGATAATAATATTTATATTTGTTTTTTAATATCTTGCATTAGTAAGTAGGAATTAATGCCCCAAATTTGCATATAGAGTCATCTCCTTAACGTCATTTCAGTCTTTAGAAGTTCAACGTGTGGAAGCTGTCTGGCCACAGGTATGACTGTATTGAAAATTGTATTTAACATAACTCTGATGATAAGATAATTAAATTTATGTCATGCAACTAATTCAATATTTTATGTCAGAGATCTTAATTAAAATTAACCTTCTAATCTCTCTCTCTAGTTTCTACTCTCTTAGTGGTAATGTACAACCTGGTTCTGTTGAACAAAGGAAGGGAAAATTCCCCATCTGGCCAGAGTGGAGTGAAAGTGATATAAACGCAGAAAAGTGGGATGCAGGCAAAGGCGGAAAAGAAAAGGACAAAACGGGAAAAAGCCCCACATTTGTAAGGAGACTTAACACAATTCATTTCATTTTGCTTTTTAATTTTATAGTGGAAATGAAGTGTGCTCATTCTTCTCCACAACCTTTATTCCAAAGGGAAATTTCGTCTTTTGTCGACTTGCCCTCTCTGCCAGCCTATGCCTTATCTTTCAAAGCCTTAGTCCTAAGTTTTGGTGAATCACATTTGGGTAAATAGAAGGAAAGAGATAAGACCAAAGAGTTACAGTGAAACAAAAGGGAAATTAAGAGATAGAACAGGTTAGCCAACGAATTATGGACAAAGTTGGGAAGCAGGCGTTTAGAAGGTGGTTTAGAGAATGAGGGTCCAAGTCAGCCTTGTGAGCTATTACTTGGAGGTTCTAGGGAGTGGGATTTTTAAAAGAAATGTCACTATGGTATAAGACCTGGATTTTTCTTAATATCCCCTCAAGCTATGTGGATAAAGATCCGAGTTGTTCTTTGTTTACTTTCTCACCTATAAACATGATAGGTCCCCAAGATTGGAGCTATGTGGAGTGCCTACATTTTCCAGTTATTTTAGGTTCTTTGGCCTATATAGAATATTTTAGCTTGGCTGGGCACAGAGACTCATGCCTATAATCCTAGCACTTTTGGGGGCTGAGAAGGATCACTTGAGGCCAGGAGTTGAAAATCAGCCTGAGCAACACAGTGAGAGTCCTGTCTCTCCACAAAACTTAAAAATTAGCTAGATGTGGCATTGAGTACCAGTAGTCCCAGCTAGTTGAGAAGCTGAGGAAACTGATGATCTCTTAAGCCCAGGAATTTAAGGTTGCAGTGACCTATAATTACACTTCTGCACTCCGCCCGGAGCAACAGGACCAGATCCTGTCCCTTACTTCCCCCTAAAAGTGTTTATTTCTAAAGATGTCTTTTTGAGCCTACGGGTCTGGGTAACATTTACAATGTGACTTATTTATTTGGTATAGTAATTCATTTAAAATATTTATAGAACACTATAATTTTTGGAACACAAAATCGCCAAGAGGGCTAGATTGAACCCTGGTGTCTCTATTTGCATAAAGTATTCTGAAATGGTAAACACTAGCATTTATATTCTCTTCACAAAATTTAGTTCACAAAGCGCATGTTTCATATCAGTGATTTATTCACAAAAGATATTCAATGGAAGGCTAATTGCTGACTCTGTTAGCACTTGAACAATTTCCAAATTAGCAAGTGTGAGGGAACACAGTCTTTGTGCCATATCTAGAGTGATCATGAAACTTTTAGGGGCAAAAGACTTTTGACCCAGAGGGTTCAAATGAAAATGGTCATGGTCTATGAATTTTTAGCAGCAATTCAGACTTACAGGGACTCTGTGTGTGTGTGTGTGTGTGTGTGTAGCTCTCAGAGATTGTGCAAGTCCTCAGTTGAGCAGTGATGTTCTAGAGAAGACGGAGAGATGAGTCACTCCAATGTATGGAGAAATGACAGGGAGGGGACAGTATAAATTGCTTGACAGTTTTGAAATAGAACATAAAATAACTCTCTAGGGAGCTTGGAGTGGAAGCATGTTTTAGTCAGGTGACTGAAAAATTCTTACAGATCTCTGGAAGGCTGGGTATCAAATTCTGGAGTTGATCAGTGTTATTAAAGTGGGGGCATGTGTGTTGGAAGAACATGTATTGGCAGAAAACCAGAGAGGCTGGTGCAGTAGTGAGTGTGTTGGTTACCTGATGTCTATTTTATTTGGGGGCAGCAAATAGGAATCAGGCTGGCTGAGCATCAGACCCCAATGTAATACTGTGGGCCTTGGATCAGGGAACTGTGTAAAACTGCATGGTTAGGAAGACACTAGGCTGACTCTTGATGTGAACAGGAGCCATCCAATGGAGTGTGGCACTTGACAGCCTTAATCTACATCTCATGCTGCCACTGTCACTTTCAGAGGTAGGGAGCACTAGCTCAAACTACAGGGCAAAGTGGTAAAATCAGGGATGGAACCTTATTTCCCACCCGGGTTCTGTCCCACAAGCACAGGATTCTTGGTTCACAAAACAACAACAGCCTCTCCACAGGAGTGAGGGTTAGGTAGACAATGTCCAAGCTTTGCGATTGCATCTCCACGGTTGGCTGACACTGTCACTCTTAGTTCTGATTTGCAACATTCATTTTTCTCACCGAGATTATTGCCTTAAGTATAGCAGTTGTCCTTGGAATAAATGGTAAAGGAAATACAGAAACCCTGTGTGTCATTTCATACATCTCTCTGCATGTACAACACCTATAATTATCCCAAAAGAATAAATTAGTTTTACAAATGAACAAATAAAAAGTCCATCAGGTCAAAGACCACAGGTTTTTTTTTTTTTTTTTTTTTTTTTACGTACAATCCTGTTTTTGATTCTAATAGTTGAACATTAAATAAATATTTCTCCATTCAGTTAAAAACTCTTCTCTACTTAAAAAAAGGTTTTTCTCAAAGAAAAACATGGCCATATCTGGCCTATCCAAAACAGATTTCCTACCGTATCTAATTCATATCCAAAGCTTGTTTGGGTTACTTCCTCTACAATTAAAACACTACTCAGCATTTCACATTCTGCTGATTGTATACGGTATTGTTAAATTCAGTATTCTCCAAATATTCCATGAATTGGCTTTGAGAGCAAGCACATAAATTGCTTTATAACTGTGTACTGATTGATCAAAGGTATGCACTTACTTGTTTTTATTGAGTTGTGTTCTTTTTAATAAAGACATATGCAGAAAAAGCTTAATTTATTTTTATATAGCATTGTTTTGAAGACCCTGAAGGAAAGATTGAGTTACCACCATCACTGAAAATTTATTCCTGGAAACGTCCACAGGATTTTTTAATTAGTCGGGTAAGAAATGTTTTTACTATTACGCAAAATACTTATTAATTATGGGAATGTAATCCCATAGTGATAAGAATGTGAATTTTGAAATGATTTAGAGTAACTACTTCTTATAGTAATTAACAAAAAAAAGTAATAGCTTTTGGCTTTTAAACCAGAAATAAATGTTGATCAGTATTGTTAAATAGTTCTTGTACTAGATTCCAAGAAATTATATTGAACTTTTGTTTAGCACAGCAGTTCTCAACCTGTGGGTTGTGACCCCCTGCATATCAGATATTTACATTACGATTCATAACAGTAGCAAAATTACGGTTATGTAGTAGCACCGAAAATAATTTTATGGTTGTCACCACAGCGTGAGGAACTGTATTAAAGGGTCATGGTATTAGGAAGGTTGAGAACTACTGGTTTAGAGGCTTGAGTTTTCTTCTTCTTCCCAAAACGTCAGATTGTAGCCTAAAATGTTGTGTGGAGTTATTCCTTGATTTCTGGCTGACACGCTTTCTCCTTTCTGCTTCTTGGCACCAATTACATGGCATGGATGTCTGTATTCTGTAGTGTTTCTTAGCATAGCTTTTCCAGTTCAAGAAGTTTCAGCTATGTCTAGTACAGCAATTCCTGAAGCATTTTCCAGAGGTCACCTTCATATCTGGACCACTAGGCCCAGCTACTTGAAGCATATTGAGTGAGGCATCTCTCAAGAAACCTTAATTTTAAATAGCACTTGTATAGATTAAAACTTTAGGCACACTGGTCTATAGCTTCTTAACAGTTGTGTTAGTTTGAGCATATTTGGTTTTTCCAAGGGCTTAATTATCAATAATGCCTTTTTCCTTTGAATATCCTATAACTTTCACTGAATGCACAGGAAAGCAGTAGGCTACGTTATTTAGAGCTAGGCCAGCGGTTGTAATGGGGTGGATTCTTCTGTATATTTGTGAAATCTATTAAAACTGTCTCTTCATAAAGAGACAGATTATTTGAGTTTATTCCCAAAAGTGTTAGCCTTCATCAGTGCTGCGAATGCAAGAACACATAACAGATCCGCCTTAATTTCTAAGGACTATAACTAGTTGAGAAAATCAGATAAAGCTAAATCCAAAAAGATGTACTAAAATAAGAAATGATAATAGGGTACATCTTTGACCACCAGAGTACTTTTTGAATGCCTACTTATAAGACATTTTAAACAAAATAAATAAAATACACCTGCATCATGCTTTTAAAGTACTTCTAGTGTTAGATAACATTAACATGAAGAAGATAAACTCTGTGCTGTTACTAGAATGTACTTATATCCATGTGTTATTAACAACATTCAGTCTCTGCTGGATGTAAGCACATGGTTTACATTTCGTGCAAATAAAACATATAGATTTCATAAAGTGGGAGTGTTGTATATTTGGATAAGTAGAACCATATATTTTTCTTTTGAGCATAACTTAGTTCTGAGAGATAAATTTGAACCAAAACTAAATTCATTCATCATTGTTGACATCACTTTCACCTACACGTATCGTAATTCTGCCATCCATTTCGTGTTGCTACTCTCCCTTGGCATTGAGTCCTTCTCTTTATCCACCACACGGAAATATGGGCTGAACCAACCAGAACTGGAATCTGGCTAAGTAGAAAAATCCTAGAATAGTGTTTTTCAAGCTTTAATGTCTAGGTCCACAGTGATAACTACTTTTGACATTGAGACTCTTTAAATATGGACCCTCACAAACGACCTATCTACATGAGATTCACTCAGTTCTATTATACCACATGGCAATAGAATTAGAACTATTCTATCTAGACCTGACCCACTAAACCACCTTCATGAATCAATAATCACAATGCACAACTTAAGAACATAGTCAACCTAGAATATACCCTAGAACTCTCGAAGCAAAAGATGTTATCAAAGGACATGATTTGAGTCAGAGAAAAGCTAAGTTGTCACACACTTTAACAAAGACATCAGGATGAACACGGACCCTTTCCACCAAGGGGGTTAATAAATTCCGATCCCGGAGTAACTGATTAGATCTATTTATTTATGAGAACTAGGTAGTGGCCTAGACCCTTCAGTGTTGTTTATACTGAACTGATATATCTGCAGATTTATCCAGCCCCAGGTACAGGAGTTGGGAATAGAGATGCTAAAATGCCATTGTAGAGACCTCTGCTTCACTATTTATTATCTTTTACAAACTCAGTTCCTAGTTTTCATCTTTTAGAAAATAAAGTAAAATTGCTCAAACTTTAGGTATCTAACATTTATTAATCTATAATCAATTTTGTTGCCCACTGGCACGTACTAAAATGAATGGACATATTAGCAATGCTCCGTCCGTCAGTCAAACCAGAATAAACTATGTTTATAAGTTAAAATCGGCTCAGTTAATTCAAGTCTTTTAGGTAGTTTTAGGTCAAAATACTAGCACTGATGGGTTAGTACTTGATGGTATTACCTTTCATAAAAGTCTAATTTCCTAATTAAAACCATTTTCATGTTAATTTGATGCATTAAAATATGCACTTAACATGAATTATAGCTCATTTTTAATATGTTATGTTGTATTTCCCTATTACTTTTATTTTATTATTTATTTATTGGTACTTGATTTAGATGTGTATGAATTAATGACCACTAAATTAATTTGAAAATGTAATGAGATTTAAAGTTGGTCAAGATTTTTAAAAGCTGTCACAACTCGTGTTTTTTTTACCCAAGATGAAGATATTTTCCCAGGTTTAACATAAATTTAAATTTTAAATTGCTTTCTAAGGTCTCCATTTGTGTGTGTATATGCATGCTAAGCTTATCTGCATATATATAATGCATGCTGTAATATTTGTGTAGGAAAATGTTATGTTTTTAATGGCATTACATTAAATTAATGTCACCTACAGCTCTAAGAATTATCTTAGGAAATAATGTATTTGATTTTTATTTACTCTAATTCTCTTGGATGTGAGAAATGAAATCAGATTTGGCTTATTTCCAGCACAGAAAAACTATTCTATTAAGCTCCATTTCCTTGATTTCTCTTGTGGAGTAATATCTGTCTATATACTTTTTTGTATTTCAGACTCCTGTAGTTGTGAAAAATGAAATTTCATTTGATTTATTTTCAACAAATGGACACTTACTCTGCAGCGAGGTATGTGGGGAAGCATGAACTGAAGTCTCACCAACTTAAGTTTCAGACCCTCTTAGACAATTCCCAGATAGTGGGTCTCAGTTCTCTCTTTCTCAACCTTCAAGTTTTGGTATAAGTAAATATTTTTTTCCCAAGTTTTTGAGGTAGAGTTGACAATTAAAAATTGCATATATTTAACGTATACAACTTGTTAATTCCAAATACATAGCCATATTGCTCATTTGAAATACGTATTGCAATTCAGCTGTACCCCACCATTCCCCACCACCCTCTTCCCCACTGCCCACCTCCTACCTCCCATCTCCCCACATGCACCTGCACCTCCCTGCTTTGGGTTTTATCCATCACAAACAGACCTATTCTACTCTCCTAAGTTAGTTAAGTTAGTTTTCGATTATTTTCTCCTGAGACTCAGGCAGAGAAGAAGGGCGTAATCATTATTAATTCCAATACTTTGTCATTCTTATCTTTCATGGATTGACCAATATTAAAATCAAAATTCTATTTCTTCAGCGAAGTTGTACTGATCAGTGGAAAATGTTCTCTGAATATTTCAGTCCAAGGTAGACCTATTATATGAATCCTAAACTTACATAGCTTTTTGGCTTTTCATTTTCCAAGTCAAAAAAGTATATAAAATCTGCTACAGGGAAATCTTGAATGTATGGGAGGATATCTGCTCTACAAAGTTCTTATGACCTAATCAAACTTTACGAATTTCTTAGATAACGCCAATTAAGAAAAACATAAATCTTATGAGGTCAGTCCTGAGTATTTAACAAACTGGGACGTTAAACGTGAGATGAATAATTCATAAAATCTGATACTACAGAGGCACTAATGGCCTTCCTGTACACCGACTGTGACCCAGAGATTTCTCACACATTCTTCCTATGCTTCGCAGAAATGCTGGAAAGTAGATACTATTATCTGCATATTGCAGATGAGAAACTGCAACATAGGCTGAAGTGACTTGCCCAACAGCAGACGTCTGGGAAGGGTCTGAAGGAGAATTCAAATCCCGGTTGGTCACTGTTTCTGCTGTGAAGCCTCCCTTCCCACGGTGCTTGTTAGCTGTTAAGAACACAGCAAGTCAGAGTTTTACTTAGAGCATGGAGGCACCTATGCAGATCAGCACATAAAATACAGGATTCAGAGGATATGTATTTATGTATCTGTACAATTTTAATTCTTTCTTATTGCCTTCCTTCTCTAATTGGTCCATTTGCATAAAAGAAATAATTTCCTTCTTAAACTCAACATTTATGGAATGTCCTCTCACAAGCTCTCTCTCTCTCTCATTCTCTCTCTCTCAGCACCCTCCCCCCTCCCTGATATCAGGTTAATATCAAATGGAGTTCAATGCCAAATCTCTGACAGTTTACTCTGGAAAACAGCTTTCTTATCTATGAGTGTTTAATAATACATAGTAGAAATTTTGGTTTGTATTATGAGTATTTTTGTAGGTCAGAAATCAAAATGTGAACTACATTGTGTGCAAAATTTAATCTTGCTACTGGAAGTAGATCTTTATTGCATTTCTCCCTAAACTACAGTACATACAATTGTGAAAACAGCCAATTAACAGTAATGACTTTTGTGTCTAGCTGATGAGATGGATTATCAGTGAAATCTACGCAGTGTGGAAGATATTCAATGGAGGGATTCTGAGCAATTATTTTAAAGGGACTTCAGGGGAACCTCCTCTTCTCCCCTGGAAGCCCTGGGAACACATATACTCTCTCTGCAAGGCTGTGAAGGGCCATATGCCTCTGTTCAATAGCTATGGAAAGTATGTTGTAAAACTTTATTGGATGGTAAGTTCAAGTTCATTTTCATAAAAATTCATGTGTCTCTTATACTGCAATGTATTTGTAGCTGGGCTAGTATAAGAAAATGTGGTGTATCCAGGATATTAATTGTGTAGCTGCTGGGGAAACTGTCCTGTATGAGTAATTTCTGAGTACTGAGAAATACAATTGGTCTTTGGTGCTGTCTGGATCACTGAGGCATCACGGATCTGTCACCTGCTGGTCCTGCTCCTGCCTGTGCACTGTCGGGCTGAGACTGGCTGGGCAGGCAGGGGTGAGCACAAGGAGCTTCCCTCTGTGACAGCAGGAGGCACCACTAGTGCGTCCTCTAATCCTCTCCCAGGCGTTGCTATAGCTGAGGGGCTGAGCCCATAGATCTGTGTCCTAAACTTGAGATCTGTTTTCCTGCCATAAACCTTACTCTGAGGCAGAGAGATTTTACCTCTGCCTAAAAGGGAGGCAAATGGGATAGTAGGAAATGCAAATAGAGTATCCAACCTCCCTTTTAAATCCAGTTAAAGTAGACTGACACCAAATTTAACATTCCTAGACGCTGCCAGACACTTTTGGCTTTTACTGGTCACCAGGAAAGAATGTTCTTTCTGAACATCTGAAGAAATCGGAAGAGTCTAAAAAGTTAAAAATTCCATTACCTATTTCTAAGAACATGGCTTTTTCCTTAATGGGCTTGAACCATTCATCTTAGGAATTGACCTTGACACCTTGTTAGGAGAGAAAACAACTTTCTAATTGCTTTTATCGTATTTATTTACCGACTAGGAGTCCTATTTGGCAGGTTTGATTTTAGGGTTTTAAATGTATTCTGATGAGTAAGCGGGAGGGTGTGGCATGAAGAATGTAGAAAACCCAGTGGATGGCATTGGGGTGTCATAGAAAGAAGAAGGTGAGCACAGCCAGAGTGGGGAGATCAGATGCCTGGGTTCTTGCCTAACCTTGATGTGGGCGTGGGGGGTGTCAAAACTATTAAATATTTCAAATCATTGAACCACCCTGTTAGATTTTTTTCTCACTCTCTGCTCCACCACCCTGCTTCCTGACATCCCTCCTTCTTTACAAATCTATTTCTGGATAGGGCTAAACAATTATTAACATGAGGTTCTGTTTTGCAAAGAAAATGTGATTTTATTTATCCTTAACTCTACTGATTCCCTACAAATCCAAACCCTCTTGATTCAGATTTTTTTCAATGCATTTAGATCACTTTGGGAATCTTAGTCCAATCCAATCATTATCTCTTTAGATAATTTAGCCCTTGGGAAAAAATGTGGTCAGAGACTGGACCTCAGTCCTGTGGCTCCCTCTGGTCCCCCATTGGTCTTGTCTGAGAAATGATTTGTGAGGATGTTGTTCAGCAAATGAACACTCAGATACAACTGGTCCCGTGAGCGCTCAGATACAACTGGTCCCGTGAGCGCTCAGATACAACTGGTCCCGTGAGCACTCAGACACAACTGGTCCTGTAGGAATTATTATGGTACTGGTGGCACTGGTGGCACTGGTGAACATGAGGCCACCTGGTTGGTACAAATCATTTCCTCTGGGCTAGGGGCAGAAATTTCTATCTCTTTGTGCCTCATTCCCAGCCGGGAGGGCTGAGTCATCTCTTGTGTGCATATCATCAGTAGTTCTTGAGAATAAATTTGTTTGGACATGATAAACTCTATTGTTACTTTTTTTTTTCTTTTCTTGTCCCTTTCCAAAACACACAATTTAAGTTTTGATTTTTTTTAATCTTCCAGGTTTAGTTCAGTATTTGTACATTTTTCTCCTTTGCTTTTCCTGCAAACACTTGGGAAACATGTTCATAAAAGTATGCTTTGGTACCTTTGACCGCTTGATTTAAGTACAGGGCACTGCAGATTCAACTTACACCTGGCGTTTATTTTCCTTTCCCTTTCAGGTCTTGTACACCTTGAGTTTCCACCTCACTGTTCTTTGATTTCTTTCTTTCTTTCTGTCTTTTTTTTTTTTTTTTTTTTGAGACAGAGTCTCTCTATGTTGTCCTTGGTAGAATGCTGTTGCGTCACAGCTCACAGCAATCTCAAACTTTTGGGCTTAATTGATTCTCTTGCCTCAGCCTCCCAAGTAGCTGGGACTACAGGCACCTGCCACAACGCCTGGCTATCTTCTTCGATTTCTTGATGCTTTCTTACCTTTTCATTATTGGAGATTGATTTTCCTTCTCTGCCTTATTGCAAATATTCTTCTCTGCCTCTTCTCTTGCCCCTGGAAACATTTGCCTTTATCACCTTCTGGAGACAAAGCAAGCTCTCAGCCTTCCTGTGTGATGTTTAAAATTCCTATGTTCACATCAGCTCATCATTTCTCCCATAGAAGCATTCTCATTACTTCCAGTTTGCATACCAAATCAATTGCATCAAGGTTCTTGACAACAGCCAGATAAAAGTTTATCTAGTAGCCTCGAGAGCAAAGCTGTGAAGCAGAGCAGTGCTTTTCTTTCTCTTACCTGGAAGGGATGATGCTGGCAGATGCGTCCAGTGTCAGCCTTCCCGTGACTCCCTGCACTTCAGCCACTGCTCTCACTCTAAATACAGACTCTGTTGGCAGCCTTGCTGAGAGTGTCATTTGTCTCTGATAAACAGAAAAAACACACATATTAAAACCAATATTTTTTTCCAGTTGCCATCAATGCTTTCATTTCTGATTGACCCTTATACTTTTAAGTACAATATTATTGTAGCTTCTAAGGTTGGTTTTTTTTTTTTTTTTAAACTGTGGGGTTCAGAAGTCTCCCTGCATCAACATCAACACCACCCATGATACTTACACTCCTGCTCCCTATGCCCCACCCTAGACCTCTTGAGCCAGACTTTCTGAGGGTAGAGCCTAGAATCCCTCATTTGAAGTAAACTCTGTCTCACCCAGTGATATTTTTGTTCATTAAATTCCAGGGACAATGTTTACAAGACACAAACTATTACAAATTATTTTTCTATCATTCAGTTGCTTTCTTTCTAAATGGACATGCATTATTTTCACTTTGTGACTGTTAATATTACGCATGCTTCTAGTAAATTCAAACACTATTAGAATAGTCAAGGTAAAAAATGAAATTTTTCTATAATTCTTCCCTACTTTGTAAAGGATTCATGTATATGGTCCGAAACTTTCTTCTGTTATTAAATTTGCCATATGTAATTTATAACAATCAGGGCCATATAATATTTATTGCTTTGTAAAGTATTCTTTTCCCTGACCATAGGCATCTATGCTAATATGCATTGATCTTTGTACTCCATTGTATGGAGGTAAAAAAATGCATGTATATTATCCCAATTTTATGTTGATAGACATTTAGGTTATGATGTGTGTTTTACCAAAACAAATGATGCTGAAAAATAACATCTTTGTGAATACATATTTTTGCCCATTTATATGCACTTTTTATATGCATTTTTATAGGATTTCTACATATGCCAAAGTACATGCAAATTCGTAACTTCCATAAGTATATTCAAGTTATTCTTTATTTTTTTGTGTGTATATACCAGTTACACTTGATATATTTGGATTTAAGTATATAATTATTATTTAAGTATATAATCTGTTATTAAGTCTATCATATTTTTTGTTAGTTTTCTTTATCTCTTTTCCTGTACTGATTGATTGAACATTGATTACTGAACATTCTTTAGGATTCCAGTTTGATTTATCTGCCTTCTGAGTATATCTTTCTGTTTTTTTTTTCTAGTGGTTGCTCTATTAATTAAAATATACATGCATAACTTATCATGGCCCACCCCATCAGCATTTTATCACTTAAATTAGAATATACTTTCCCACCATTTTGGCTCCTTTACGCTTTTCCATTTCTGATATAGTTTTCTTTTTTTTTTTTTATACTGATATAGTTTTCTTAAGTGTTTCTTTTATTTATATTGAGAACCTTATCATAAATTTTGCTTTTACATTCAAATGCAATTTTAAAAGCTCAAGAGAATAGTCTATCATTTAGTCATATGTTTACTTATTTTTGTTTTTCAAATTTTTAGTCATTTTTTAATTGACACACCGTGATTTTTCTTTCCTTTCTTTCTTCTGATGTTGCAAGTTTCTTGTCATTCTCAGTTTGTCGTTTTGAAAAATTTCTTTTCACCGTTCTTTTTGAGTATTTTCTGAAATCTCTGTTGACTTATTGCTCATTTGTTGATCTTTTATAATTGTGACTTAAGGATCTTAATTAGAAAACAACATTTTATTATTCTTTCAGAATTCTCATGGGAGGAAGAGGGTATAGTATATCTAGCCATTTAGTTATCTGGATCTTGAAAATATTAAACTTTGAACATGAGTATATTCTAAAGCAGCAGTTCTCAACTGCTGGGTTGTGACCCCTTTGTAACAATGAAAACACATCCTGCATATCATATATTTACATTACGATTCATAACAGTAGCAAAATTACAGTTATGAAGTAGCAACGAAAATAATTTTATGGTTGGGGGTCACCACCACGTGAGGAACTGTATTAAAGGGTCACAGCATTAGGACATATTAGGAAGGTTGAGAATCACCGTTCTAAAGTATTTTATTAGTTAATATTAACAAAGGAGACATCCTTCTTCATAGACATGCTACATAATTAAACAATTTGATGGTCTCTTAAATGATGTAGTGCTAACACAGGAAACAATTTGAAAAAACAATACATCATTTGCATGCGCTAATAAAAATACCAAATACAAAATAATTCAGTCTTCTATCATGATGTCTTAAATAAACTGCATCTTTCTTGTTTCTGTCTACCTGGGGAAAATACGCTGTTTCGTAAATCTCCAATTCAAATATTACTTTCTCATGAAGACTTCCTCAGCAAAATTAATCACACTTTGCTTCATGGTCCCAGAGCACTTTGTCCACATTGTATTTTATGTCATTTGCCTATGTCCCTTTTCCTACTAGACTGTAAGTCATTCAGTGGTAGAGGCCATTGTTATACAGATGTTTGGATTCTCAATGCCTGACACCATCACTGATAATATTTGGGGGCAAAGGAACAATTTAGCATATAAGAACAAAGTAAAAGAAAAGTCTTTATTTGAGTTCACAATCATTAATGTTAACTTTTGTTTCATGCTTTTAATTATAAAGTCATATGCGTATAGGTAAATACATAATGATTTCATTAAATAAGATGTTAATTCTCTTCATGTAAAAAATTAAATCTTTAATTAAGTGTGGAAGTAATATGGGAATTAGAAGTGTATATCAGTGAGCACATATCAGGATCAGCAATAATTATTAAAGTTATATTTGGAGAATTTGTATTATGATTATATAAAGTTATTTAAGTATGCTCAGGCTTATCTAGGGTTGCCTTATGTCTTGATTCTTCTATTTGAAGCACTTTAATTTACTGCACTAAGCAGGATAAGACACGCAATTGTTTCTTCACAAGACCTCGTAAATAAGGAAAGTATCGATATAGATATGGATATACTGTAATTATAGCAAATAAAATGATAAGCTGACATGCTCAACCACAGTAGTCTTGGAAACTATCTCAGACTTTAAATATTGAGATGCTAAAATAAAGTTATGAAACAGTAAATAGTAATGTCAGCAGAATACAATAACGTATGAGAGAAAATATTATAAATTATAGGCAGTATTATATTTCTTCTTAATTCTAGGGTTGCTGGAGAAAGATAACTATTGATGATTTTCTGCCTTTTGATGAAGATAATAATCTATTGCTTCCAGCTACAACCTGTGACTTTGAACTCTGGCCAATGCTTTTGTCTAAAGCTATCATTAAACTGGCAAATATTGAGTAAGTAGCGAGAAATTATCACTCACTTGTATAAAAAAAGGCAAACAAAAACAACAGCAGATACATACGTATTCCATAGTTTTCTTTTTAAAAAATAAATTAAAAGAGAACTTTCTTTGCAAGTAATGTGAACTTTCTAGAATCAAAACAAATGTGCCAAAGTCACTGATTTGACACTGATTTGGGTTAGCCAAAAATAAGACAAAATTTTCCCAAGAAAGAAAACACAAAATTATTCTGTATTAATTTTATTCTTATTATGAATAAAAAGTCAGTCATGAAAAGTCATGTTTTTATCTTTTCCTTTTTTTTTTTTTTTTTTTTTTGAGACAAAGGTTTCACTCTGTTGACCTAGAGTTGAGTACTGTGGTATCATCAAAGGTCACAGCAATCTCAAACTCTTGGACTCAAGCGATCCCAATGCCTCAGCCTACCCAGTAGCTGGAACTCCAGGTGTCCACCATGACACCCAGCTAATTTTTCTATTTTTATGAGAGATGGGATCTTGCTCTTGCCCAGGCTAGCCTTGAACTCTTGAGCTCAAGCACTCACTTCCCAGAGTGCTAGGTCGTGGTTCATCTTATTGGGAGAGAAAATTGTTTTGTATGGGGAAAATACTTGTTCATCTAAATACCAAATAACGTGTACTAGAATCCAGTTAAAATTTTAGTTTCTATATAGGTAGCAATAACTTAACAAGCTTGAAAAACATCAACTCATTTAAAGGATGTTAATGTGTTCCTTATCCCTTTGGTTGATACCAATCACTTAATTCATGTTGAAAACTACTCACAAGTCCTTTGATATTCTTACAGAATCTGTGTTGTATATTCCTGCATGAAATATAGGAGACACGTCTGCTATGTTCCAGTTTTTCAGTGTCCACTTCCAAAGGCAGAGCAGTCATCCTGTCCTTAAGCCAAGCAATGCAAAATAACAGGCGCTCGAGTCCAACCTGCGTGGCAACTTTATATCATTGCTCCCCAGGAGAATTTTCCTGTTCACTGCACAGGCTTGCATTTTATACCCTTCTGCCTCCCGCAGTGCAGCATAGCTTCTCCCTGTGCAGCAGAACACAGCCACTGTGCTTTCACAGTCATGTCACCATCGACTCAAAGCTCAGCACCCCTCCTCTGGCAAACTTCGCAGGGTCAGAGCCAGTTCTGCTTTGTGTGGATCTTCTTCTGGCTCAGCTTCCTTTTTCTCTCCCAGGACTGCAAAACAAAAACAAGCATTCCTATTGCCGTCCTCTTCATCTTTTTTTTCTTCCTAGACCTTAATTTTCTATTGGGAGTTTGCTTCACCCAGCTTTCAACTCTTAATTGCAATAATTTTTATGAAAACTCAGCTTGGATCTTTTTAGGTAGCTGAATACCAATAAGTATTCACACAAGCAGGAACTGTGCTTGTTTATTTGGAAAATAAAATGTTTCTAATGTTTATAACTCTCAGACCTAACTGGAAGTTGTGAGAATTAGAGCTGTAAGACCAGGGAAGCATTAAATACATGACCCGGACAATTGGAGTGGCAGTTTGTTGTTCTTAAAGCTGTAGTTCAGTAGAATTGTATAGCAGCATGAATAATAGAGTTATTATTATTTTTAAAAATCCATCTTGGAAATAAAAGACCATAGTTTAAGTGAGGAAACCTGTCTCACATGGTACAATTTATATTTTTCTATAAATTCGTCTCAGATTTCATAGTATCCTATGGCTGTTATTTTCCTATGAGGTTTAGCTTACTATGTTTAAAAATTTAATACCTAGTACTGTAGTTATCTCTATATCAATGAGAGATATGCACACCCCCCTCACTATTTCTATGAGATTTGAAAAGTCCCTTCATAAATATAATTATCCAAGGACTGTGGACTATTCTTATACATATTTGTTATCTTTGAGATATATAGAAAAATACAAATTTATAATTCCTAAACACAAAACAAAGCACACTTAGATGTGTAAACAATGGAATACATGACTAAGTATCAGTTCTCTCTAAGGAAAAGGACATGTGTGTTGGACAATCCCATGGACAACACCATTGACGCACAGTTGTGATAGCTGTGATTCCTGGCTGGAAGGGAGAGAGGGCATTTCTGTGTCTAAATGTTAATGAACTAATCATCTTAGGAGAAAAAGGAAAAGGATGGAAGAGAATAGCAATATTTGGTTCATGGCTACCTCATTCAACTTTTTGCTATCCTGGCAGGTCCGCTCTTCCATACAGGCTATAATGTTTCTGGTTTCTCTGCAGTTATCTAAGGATCCTGTTAAGGATTTGTAATGCTCATCATGATCAGTTATAGACAAGACTGATTAAATACACAGCATTATAAGCATTTTAATATAATTATTGAAATTGGAATGATGAAAAAACACTGTTCTATTTTTAAAAGGACAACATGATCCATATATTGCGTACATAAAATAGATTATATACTATTTATATCATATATTAATTCATTATAATATATAATGGGAACATATTTTATGTACATGGCATTAATTTTAGATCTTTTGAAAATAAAGTTTATAAACATGCTTTGTAAACATACATAAAATTTTATATTGGACCTACTTGAGCGCCACAACAAAGCAAATCATCTGGCTGTTGGGATAGTATTTTCTTATATAGTTATAATGGCCCCTACGTTTATTCTTACCCTGCTGTTTATGGATGATTCTGGCTTCTCACATATAAGTTCTGTAACTGCAGCATTATGCATTCTCTTTCCCAGCATCCACATAGCACAGAGGAGAGAACTGGGAGAGTTCACGGTCATTCACGCTCTCACAGGCTGGCTACCAGAAGTCATTTCTCTTCAGTAAGTTTGGTCATGAAGTTGCTGCCATCTACTTTTTTTCTTTCAAGATTTCTTTAAACTATTCTTAGTCATTAAGAAAACTTAAAAAAAAAAAACAGGCCATATTTTGCAAAGTGTTTGGGAAAATATAATTTGCGTAACATAGATTCCTCGAGGATTTCAGGGTAAGCTCTATTCCCTTACACATGAATAGGGGCAGTTTGACCCCTGTAAGTTCTCAGGACTGACTCCTGTCACAGAAGACAGATTAACAAGAAAAAACAAACGTAAGCTTATTAACATGTATATTTACCATAGACGTGGGATAAACCCAGGCAATAAATCGTTCTCAAAGAGGTGTCTTTGAATTCCAGCTTATATAGAATCTTCTACAAAGAGCAGCAAGTTTTAAGAGAAGTGACCAAAGGAAAAGGACTTAGAGTCTCTGCAGCTGACTGTGTGTGGGAAGGCAAATTCATGTCAGATAAAGACTAGTTAATAAAGCTTGTCAAGGCAGATTCTACTGGATCATCTTTAGGTGATGAGAGTCCAGAGCTACCTTCAGTGGTTAATTCATGTTCTCCATGGTAGAAGCCATGGGGTAAAGGGCAAGATCACTTTTTGTCTTTGTAAATCTGTGACCTGCTTTTCGGCAGCTGGAGGGCAGAGAGCTTCCTTATATTTCTTTTTTTTTGAACTGCCATCACCTCAATGGGCTTTCATACTCTGGAGCAGTATATGCTGATCTCCCACACTCATATATACTATTCATGTAATCCTTCTTTCTGACTTGCAAATATTAAACAATAGTAATTATTTATTATGGTAAAACATTTACAGATTTATCTTTGTGACTTACATAGCTATCACATGTATTTCAATGCAGAAACATAAAAGTGACTTGTAATCAGCCACACATGTTAGGAAATAATCATAATAAAACATCTACTGTGTATCCGGTATTTGAATATATTGTTTCTAATTTGAAAACCACAGTCTTAAGAGGATTATCTCATTTAATCATCCAAATAACCCCATCAACCAGATCAGAGTGTCAGAAAAAGTAGGTAGTATGTGGTAGAGACGTAATTATTGACAATTTCTTTCCCATCTCTAATAACTTCATTAGATTGCTTAATATTACCTAAAAATATGTGTAGTGATTAATAATCAACTATTGGAAATGTTATAAAGAAGAGTAAATGAGGCTGACTCCAATAATCACATTTATCCATTTTCTCCTAAATACAGCTAGAAAGTAACAGAAGCATATGTGACTGTGTCATGACTTGCAGGAGTTTTCATACGAACATTTAGGACATCATTCAAATAATTTTCTCCCCTCCCCTCCCTCACTCCTTCCCTCCCTTCTTCTCTCCCTTCCTTCCTTCTTTCTTTTTTACTTTCAGATTAACATGGGGGGGGGTACATACAAGTAGGTTATAAAGTTTGCTTTTGTAAGCTTAAAGTCTGAGTTGTAGTTGTGTAATTTTAAATTATAATTACACTGTAAAATTTAAAAGTTGATTAGCACGTATGTATATATATAATTTTACATAAAAAAGATGTCATAAAACAGTAATGATTGATTGTTGAGATAAGTTGAAAAATGGAAGCAATCACCAGCAGCCTAGGGTGCAGGGAGCCGTCAGGGAAGGCGTCATGAGGAAGTTCTGACTGGACTGATGAAGAAGCAGAGGAATTTTTCATCCCCTGCACTTACACTAAATGGTGGTGTGTAGCAAGCTCTAGACTATATTTATATACTACTGCCTACATTATATATGGCTATATGGATGGCAAAAGCTTATCTCAAACACAGAATATCCAGGAAGGAACTCTTGGTTCCACCCTCCAGTACCTGCCCTTTTCCTTGAATGCCTCATCTCAGCACGTTGCACCGCTGTCTACCCCATTACTCAAGCTAAAGAGAAACCCAGGAATCCTCCTTGATCACTCATTTTCCTCACCTCTAGCATGTAAATCTCTCACTGAGCCCTGTCAATGGAACCTCCTCCACTTCTTGTGAATCTATTTATTTTTCTATGTCTCTGTTATTGCCATGCTAGCTCAGCTCACATAATGGCCTCACAAATGGTCTCTCTGGGGCTATTACCATCATCTAGTTAATTCTCCACGTGGTAATCACAACAGTTTTCTAAAATATAAATCAGATCCTATCTCTCTCCTCTCTTAAAACCTTAGAGTGGTTAACAATTACACTTGAATGAACTTTACAGTATTCACCATGGCCCTCAGCGATCTACACCCCACAGCCTCTGACCTTGTCATTAGATGGGGGTCTTGTTCTTGCCCAGTGAAGCCCTTACTTGGCCACCCAGGTCTTCTTTCTGTTTCTCAAACTTAGAAAACTCACTCCTCCTTATAGCTTTACAGGAGCTGCTCCTTCTTTCTTTTTTGCCTGGAATGATTTTTCATCAGATATTCACTTACTTGGGAATATCATAGCATTTAGGTCTTGCCAAGCTTAAATATCAACTCCTTAGACCGTTCAAATGAAATTACTCCTTCCCCAAGTTGTGTTATATCCCGTATTCCATTATTTCATTTTCATCGTGGAAGTTATCACTGCCTGTTATGTTTCTTTCTGCCTTTCTCCCACTGTAAAGCCAGTGAGAATGGGGACTCTCTGCACTGCTCAATATTGTGCCTTCTGTGTACATGACACGGAATGACTGGCATTCTATACAGTGTGTGGAATGAGTAATTTATGATTTTTAAAGACTATACTAGAAGTGTGTGAATGATTCTTTGGGAACCCCAGGCAGAACTCTCTCAGAAAGTAATACTTTAATTGACTTCCAAGATTAGTTAAAATGAATGCAGCTAACGGAGGTGGGGAGGCCGAGTTAGAAAAGAAAATATAGTAAGGAAATAGAAGAAAGCAGGGTACAGTCCTAGAAAAACACGTGGTTCTGGATTCTGTGTTACTAAATTTTCGAGGAGGAATGAGATTCGGATGGAGAGGTGAGTAGGAGCCAGGTAGACAAAGGTCTTTAATGCCATGTTAAAGGATTTTCACAACAACCTGAAAGTGGCAGAATGTTTTTGAGGGATTTAGATAGGAGTATGACCTTGTCAGACTCATGATTTTGGAAGACTACTCAGAGCAGGATGGCAAATGGCAGGACTGGCACAAGGACACTGGCTCACACAGTATCCCAAGGGGCTCTTCTCAGGGCTTCAGCAGGGGAAGCGTGATAAGAATATAGAAAAGGTGGTCTGCTGCAGTCAGGGTCAAGGAAACATTTTATTTGCTGAGGATTTCAAGAAGAGAGACTTGGTTGTTTTATACTTTTTGTTTTGAGTGCTATGTAGAGGTGGTAGTGAGACATTTTTATTGATTTCTTCCTTATATTTGTGCTTATTTATTTTTGGACAGTCACATGGGTGGGCATGGACTTTAGGAGAGAGGTTACATACATGGACAAATAAACTCAAGATCTGAACGAAGATATAAAATGGTAATAACTCAAGGAGGGAGAGTCTGGGAAAGCAATCTTCAGTTGTCAATAGGGAACAGTGAAAGGGAGAGTTCAAAGAAGTCTCCAAGTCTCACCTCAGGGGAGAGTTAAAAGAAGAGATAGGAGCAACACACGGATCTCATGGGAAGCCAAGGAAGATTGGGGAAGATATGATAAAGCATAGAAAGTGTTGGCCACTTCATGGATGCTCAGATACATACTCTCTCTGTCATGTTTGTAACGTTCCCAGCTCCCCTGCCAAAACGCATGGTCCTTGAGGTGAGAAGGAAGTTTGGGGTCGGTATGTATCAGTGACTAATGTATCAGCCGCACATATCAGCACTCAGTAAGAACTTGCTGCACCAATGAAGAAACGATGGTGTTGTTAACCAAAAGTTGAAACACCGATTGAAGTCGGCCTTATCAAGTAGCAAGTTGATTTTTCTGTCAGTAATTTCTTGATGGGAAGTTAAAAAAAAAAAAAAAAGCAAGTCACAAAAGGCATCATTTAGAGGAATTAATGTGGGTGTTTTCTTCTCTCAGCCCAGGATATATGGACAAAGTGTGGGAGCTCTTGAGAGAAATATTGCCTGAGTATAAGCTGCCGGATGACACCAGTTACGAAAGTAAAACCACAGTGGTTGACACCAAATTAAAAGACATGGGGAAAGAGGTGAAGGACAGCAAAGAAGGGAAGGAGGGAAAAGAAGCAAAAGACGGGAAGGAATTCAAAGCTGAAAATTCCTCTTCAACCCTGAAAGTCTCAGAGAAAAGTGACAAATTTTCCAAGGGTAAGACATTTTACATCCAATTGTTACTTACCGTGGACAGTGAAGATAAATGCTTGCTGGTGGTTGTCGGATTGTTCTCATGCTTTTTTACTGTTATTATCATTTCTTTCTTTCTTTTTTTGAGACAGAGTCTCAAGCTGTCCCCCTGGGTAGAGTGCTGTGCTGTGGCATCCCAGCTCACAGCAACCTCCAACTCCTGGGCTTACGCGATTCTCTTGCCTCAGCCTCCTGAGCAGCTGGGACTACAGGTGCCCGCCACAAAGCCCAGCTATTTTTTGATTGTAGTTGTCATTGTTGTTTGGCAGGCCCAGGCTGGATTCGAACACGCCAGCTCTGGTGTATGTGGCTGGCACCCTAGCCGCTTGAGGTACAGGCGCTGAGCCATTTCTTAAATGTTGGTGGAAGAAACAGCGATGTAACCAAGAGCTTCCTCTTCAAGGACTTTAGAACTTATAATGATGTTTACTATATGTTAATTATTGTGCCCTGTTTTGCTTCCTTTAAAAAATCAAAAGAAATGCTCTACTTTGATGCTACTAAATGAATATAGCATTCATTTAGTTAGGAACTTTTAAGTTTTCAATTTCCATCAAACACCTCTTTCTCCCATTTAAGAAGTGAAAAATAGCCAGAGTTGGCAAGGATGATCTGTTTGGATATGGAGTTTCAAGGCTGGATAGATTGTGGTACCTATTAGGAGAACTCACAAAATGATTTCGAACTTATTGAATTTGAGGTGCCTTTAATACAATGAAGTGTAGTTTTCATGTTCTAAGTCCCAGACTGGTGAGGGAGTCATGGACAAATGCATGCAGAATTAAACTGTGAATGATATTCCTCATTGGTACGGTATACAGTAGGGAGACTTGAGATGTTGAGAATGAGCCTTGAAGAAGCTACACAAACATCTGAGCTTTGTACGAAATGATGAGCTGCTGACGAAAACTAAGGACTATCCAGAGAAACAGGGAAAACAACAGCAGAGCATTTGACATTGAAGTCAAAGAGAAAATCTGTTTTAAGAATCATAGGTTAGGTAAAATATTGAGGGACAGACTGTAACAATGACTTAAATTTCTCCAGTAGATTTTGTGATATGGAGGTCCTGGGCCAGTTCAGGATGAGGGGGGTGGAAGCTATATTGGAGAGGGGTAAGAAGTTAAGTGGGAAGTAAAATAATGTATAAATAACCCCATCAGAAGCTTGACCTTGAGGACTAGGAGACCTACAAAGTGGAAACTGACAGGGAATAATGTGGACCCCAAACAGAATATATATTTGTTCATTTAACAAAGGAGAAATGAGTATTTTAAAGTGATGATTGGGAATATCCAGCTAAGATGACTGATACAGTGTAAATTTCCTGAGAAAGCAGGAAGGGCGGGATCCACAGCCAACTAGTTGGAGGGATGGGCCCAACCCAGGGGGAGCAGTGGTTCCTTCACTGGGTGCATGTCATCCAGGGGGGTAGGGGGGGATACAGGTGTATGAGGGTGAGCGGATTTTGGGAGAAGGTGAGGATTTCTGAAAGACTTCTACTTTCTCTGTTTATAGACAGCCTAGCTGTGAGTGAGAATGAGGTGGAGGTGGAAGTGGAAGATGTAGATTCTCACAGGGATTTAAAATAGACATGACAAGGTTTGCAGAACTAGGGGAGGATTTTCTCCAGCAGGACTCAGCTGCCAACTGTACTCAGGGTGGGGGTTTGCCAGATGCGTGGAATGAAATGTCAGAGGACCAACAATTATTTAGGGCTTCAGCAAAAACACATTTTGGTAAGCACTGTTGCACATTTTTTAAATTTCTATGGGTAGCAGTTTACGTTTTTCTACTTACAATTTTTTACTTTATCTTTATTATTTTTAAAACAAACCCTAAATAAAAATTGGAAGGCTTTTAAGTCCTATTTTAAAATCGTATGTGAAATAACCTATTGTTACCCAAGGTTAGTCTTATTAAATAAATATACTATATATAGGAAATCTATAAACTAAAATTCTGATAAACTATTTTTGACACATAATTTTTCCAGTTAAATGCCTCACCCTATTTTTACAGTATAGTTTACTTCTATATCTAACATAACTATTGAATCTACTGTGAAAGCTAAGATATGAGACACGTTTACTATGGAGGCTAACATTATAACTAGTTAATGCCACAGTTCTTATTTATAAAAATTTTTAAAAATGAATGTTACCTATGATAATTACATATTTGGTAGACAATGCAGAGAATGAAATGATAGAATTCTAAAATGTCTGATTCAGAACTAAAGGAAATGTACGAAGGATAAAAATATTGACGGAAACTATTTTAAATCGAAGGAAGACATGTTTCATAGAAATGTGTCCATATATGAATGGGCATTCAGATGATGATATTTCTGAGTACAGGGGCTTTATTAATCAAGCCATGTTGACAATATTATGTCAATCTGTGAATGTTGATTGGATTCTGGGCCCCACAAGAGGAGACTTTAGAGACAAAAAACCTGTGTTTCCTTGGAATGGAGACTCCAAATGAACAAACTCTGAGAGGTCTCCACATTTAGGACTCAACTTTCAGCACATGCTTTGCTGTTTTTTGTTTTTGTTTTTAAATTGAGAAAATTAGCTTGACACTGTATTTTACATAAATGAAATATATTCAAATAATCACCTCCATGAAACAAAATTGTATATAGTGAATAATAATACCACATTTCTTTCACAATACATGTCAATTTTCAATTTTTTTTTCTCGTTCTCATTAGAGGGGGTTTGGGGAAATTGTGATTATATCTTTATGTTTATATAATACTATTGTTTTGTAGGGGTTTTTTTTCCAACACAATGACTGAATAAGAAACATAGTTTGAGGTTTTGTAGTTAAAAGATTTATTGTGGTGTTTTAACATGTCAGAAAAAGCAGATGCAAAAGACGTTGGGAAGAAGAGGAGTAAAGATGGAGAAAAGGAAAGGGATAAGGACAAATTCAAATTGTCACTTCATGGTTCAAGACCCTCATCAGATGTGCAATATTCTATGCAGTCCCTGTCAGATTGTAAGTTCTTAGTCTCTTAGAAGATATATAACTATTTTAGTTGTTACTTAAAATGCTAGAAAACATTGGAACATAGAAATATAGTTTCTATTTTAAAATAACTAAGTAAGCTTGTTCAAGGTGTCCCATAATGCTGGGCCTTCAGATGGGTGTGGGGGTCGGGACAAGGTCCTGCATTTGAGACAGAAGCCAGGTTGTCCAAGTTCATATGGTACAACTGTCACAAAAGAGGCATCCACATGTAGAGGGGGCTCCTGCTAGTTGTTCTCAGGTATTTCTCCAAAAATGCTCACGGTATAAATTTACCATCCAAATCAAAGTAAATTTGCAGTTACTTGCTTAAGTAGTTAGATGCCAGCCACTAAATGGAAGAAAAAATGTACATCTATCTCCTTGCTCACAGTGGACCTCCAGCTCTTTACTGTGTTTTAAAAAATAAGGATGAGGCTCAAGTCTCTAGAATTAGTTGTCTGTCTATGGCATGATTCTAACAACCACACTTTTTGGGTGCATCACATTGTAGACCTAGGTCTATTTATAATAATCCCATTGTATAACAATTAAATCTTTTTAGTGGAAATACTCCCATTTCTATGTGTTTTATTTAACAGCATGTTGTAAATCCATTATTTCAGTTAATTATGTCCAATGAGGACTAAACTATCACCAAAACCCCCTGGACCAAGCAGTTTGTCCTCTGTACCACCTAAAATAGTCTAGATATTGTAGCCTTGTAAAAAATGGTATCCTTCCTTCCAAGTTGAAAGAAGATATGTACTACAAAAAAAAAAAAATACCCCTTAGACTATTCAGGAAGAAGATTGGGCTATCTCTTTTGGGACTTTATAACCCCAACATTGGGTCATCTATCTTAATGTTTCTAGAGTTTAGGTTATAACTTGCACATCATCCTTTATTACATGGTTGAAAATAAGGTTTGTTGACCTCTTGCACTGTGCCTTATCTGGCTTATTTTAATTTTATGGTTTTTTCTTAATATGCAATGATTATTAATATGAGGACATTTTGGTAATTATACGTTTTTAAAAACTTTGTTGAAACAAGTCTGGTGATATGGGTAGAGAAAAGAGGCATTAGTCACATTGTATTAATTCTATACTAAAACTTGTCTTCTTATATTGATGCCTTAAGTACAATATTTTTTAATAGTGGGTAGCATCACATTACTAAATTTACTAATAAATCTTCATTGAAGTGAAAGGAAAAAAATGCTGCCTTTTTTTCCTGCTGAAGTCATAGTTAAGGCCAATCTCAACATACAGGATGCAGTTCAAAGTTTGGACTGTGGCGTTAAACTGCCTATGCTCAAACACCTGCTCCAACACAAGCGTATGAGGATCAGGCAAGTGATGGAGGCTCTTTCAATTCATGATTCTGCTCTGTAAATCAGCACCCTGGTGTCTGGGAGGGTTCTTGTGAGAATTAAGTGTTAAAGACCAGGTTCAGTACTTGCTTAGTACTTGTTAGTAGAGCTACTTTCAAACATACTTGCTGCTAAAGACTTTATTAATTCTTAATGTGTTCCAAATAAGATATTGTGTTGGTATGAACCTATAGGATACTTCATCTAGCACAGATAAGGTAGTGGCCATATGAAATGCCTTCTCACACAGAGTTAAATCCAAGCAGTTTCTGATGGCACTGCTATAATTCATTGCCTCCAATCAGCTGATTGGGTTTTACTTATAACTGACATAATAGACACTGAGCATTCAAGAGGTAACCAAGTTCCAGTTACATTTGTGAACCCATATATTAATCTCAGATTTTAAAAAAATAAAAAAAAAATTGTGACTTCATCCTAGAAAAAGTGCTGTATACCTCACTGCTGAATATCATCATGGTCGCCAGATGGCCAGGGGAAGTACTTCATAGGTGACCACAGTGATATTCAGCAGTGAGATATCCTAGCACTTTTTCGAACTTCATATATTTATACATCAAATAATTCATATTCAACGCACACCCTAATGACTATATACTATGATTGCTTTTCACCTTGTTACTTTTGGTGTAAGTGTCCTTACTTAAGTTCACTAGCTGCCACAGCTAACCAATGGTTCACATAGCATGTATGTTTCATTCTCAAACACATAAAATCTCAGACTAGGTTAGTGATCAGCAGAAAGCTCTTTTCTAAATGTGTGTTGAGATCCATGCTCCTTCCATCTTATGGCTCTGATTCCTTTGGCATGTGAATTCTAAAGCTCTATACCAGTGGAAAGGAAAGAGCTTAGAGATTTTCAGGGGTGAATTTTTTTTTTTTTAAATTTCAGGTTAATGTAAGAGTATAAACAACTAGGTTAATAATTTGTGCATGAATAGAACCATCTCTGTGTTAGGTAGAGTCCCTCTTGTAGTTGTGTCCAGCATCCAAAAGGTGTGCCATACACCCTTAACATTGTGCCCATTAAGTGGGAGCTTACCAATCCCCTTCCCTCCTCGCCTGTACCCCCTCATTCATTCCTCCTCCCCCCAGCTTGAATTGAAAGGAGTTTTTCTCTTAGGTGGGCATGTATTAGATCCTCTATTGGCTTCATATAGTATTGTGTACATTGGGTATTTGCTTTTTCATTCTTGTGATACTTTACTAAGAAGAATGAGTTTCAGCTCCATCCAGGTTAATACAAAAGATGTGAAGTCATCATCTTTTTGTGGCTGAATAGTATTCCACAGTACACATATACTACAGTTTGTTAATGCATTTCTGGGTTGATGGGCATTTGGGTTGCTTACACATCTTAGCAATTATAAATTGAGCTCTGATAAACAATGTTGTGCAAATGTCTTTATGATAAAATGATTTTTTTTCTTCTGAGTAGATACCTAGTAATGGGGTTATAGTATCAAATGGGAAGTCTAATGTGAGTTCTTTGAGGATTCTCCATACATCTTTCTGAAGAGGCTGTATTAATTTGCAGTCCCACCAACAATGTAAAAGTGTTTCCTTCTCTCCACATTCATGCCAACATCTTCAGCTTTAGAACTTTGTGTTGTGGGCTCTTCTCCCACATCACACACCTAACTGGGGTTAGGTGATATCTCAGGGTAATTTTGATTTGCATTTGTCTAATGATAAAAGATGATGTGCATTTTTTCATATGTTAGCCATTTGTCTGTCTTCCTCAAAGAAGGTTCTATTCATGTCTCTGGCCAAGTGAGATATGGGATTGTTGGCTCTTTTTTTGTGGATTAATTTGAGTTCTCTTTAGATCCTAATTATCAAGCCTTTGTGAGATTTGTAACATGAAAATATCTTTTCCCATTCTGGAGATTGTCTATTTGCTTTAATTGTTGCATCCTTAGCTGTGCAGAAGCTTTTCAGCTTAATTAAGTCCCATTTATTTATTTTTTTGTTGTTGTTACAATTGCCACTGAAGTCTTCATCATAAAACGTTTCCCCAGACTGACATCCTCAAGAGTTTTTCCCACACTTTCTTCTAGAATTTTTATCATTTTGTGTCCTAGATTTAAATCTTTTATCCACTTTGCCTCAATTTTTATTAGTGACAAAAGGTGCGGGTTCAGTTTTAGTCTTTTACATGTGGGTATCTAATTCTTCCATTACCATTTATTGAATAGGGATTCTTTTCCTCCGTATATGCCTTTGTTTGGTTTATCAATGATCAGATGGTTATCAGAGACTGGTTTCATCTCTTGATTTTCTATTCAGTTCCATATGTCTATGTCTCTATTTTTGCACCAATACCATGCTATTTTGATCACTGTGGACTTGCCATATAATCTCAAGTCTGGGAAGGTGATGCCTCAGGCTTTGTTTTTACTACTAAAATTTTTGATGGCTATACTTTTTTTTCTGTTTCCATCCGAAACGAAGAACTAGTTTTTCCAGTTCTTTGAAGTATGATGTTGGTATTTTAATAGAGATTGCATTAAATCTATAGATTGCTTTAGGAAGTATAGACATTTTAATAATGTTTATTCTTCCCAGCCAAGAGCATGGTATGGTATTCCATTTATTAATGCCTTCTGCTATTTCTTTTCTTAGGGTTATCTTAATCCTCTTCTGCTATTTATTTTCTTAGGGTTTTATAATCCCCTTCACCTCCTTTGTTAGGTATATTCCCAGGTATTTCATTTGTCTTTGAAGCTACTGTGAAAGGAATTGTGTCCTTGATTAGCTTCTCAACTTTGCTGCTACTGGTGTATACCAAGGGTACTAATTTGTGGACATTGATTTTATACACTGAGACATTACTTGATCACTTTCAGGAGTCTTGTGGTTGAATCTCTGGAGTTCTCTAATATCAGATCATGTCATCACCAAAGAGTGAGAGTTTGACCTCCTCTGCATAGGTGAAATTTTTAAGGACAAATTGGCTGTTATTACATACACATGTCACTTCTGCTCACATTCTATTGACTTGAATTCAGTCCTGTGGCCACAGCTGCCTGTACAGGAAGTTGGGAAATACAGTTTGGCTGAATAATCAGAAGAAAAAGGAAACAATTTTGTGAGCAGTGGTTAGTCTTTGCCATATTCCACTTCTCTAATCATCAAATATCCACTTCACTCTTCTTCCCATGTATATTATATTCTATGTTCACCACTAACCATGAGTTCTACCCCAACGTACTATCTATAAATTGCATCTAGTTTAACATCCAGTATCACTATGTCATGTACACACACATATATGCTTACACCCATACTCACATTTATCCATTCCCTTCTCTAATGTACTGTTGAAGAGGGACAGAACAACTGCAATGCAATCTCCCATTCATAAAATAAAATAATAGGAGACATATTTTAGTCATTGATGAATAGCAGTTCTAAAATTCCACTGAGCAGGCCTTTTTGTCCTAGCATAGAAGGAAAGTTCTTTGGCACTGATTCTGCTGTCATGGAGGAACTCCAAACTAAGAAGTGTAGAGTGAGTTTATAAACCTAGAGAGTATTGCTCCAGAGTTCACAGTACTATCTACTATAATATATCTCTTCTCAATATCTACAG